CACAAAGTCTCCCAGGAGCTCTGTCAAAGCACCACAATACCCCCTCCTTACCTTCTGGCCAGCCCGAAGTCAATTATCTTAATTTGGTGTCCCGTCTGACTGACACACAGGATGTTCTCCGGCTGGGAAAGAAAGAGAAGTCTGCTTAGCTCAATCAATAGCTGAGAAGGTCCACAGCTCCCACACTTACTTGTCAACAGGCCTCAGTTTCCCAGCCTCCAGGGGAATGAACAGCTCAGGGCAGCCCCACAGGGATAGATACTGAAAACAAATGAAGTGGTCCAGTATGAGACAAGGAGCAGCGTGGACTGCGAGGCAACTGGAGGTCTCCCGCCCTTTGCAAAGGGGCAGCCACTGCTCAGCTCCAGCCACTGGCCACCACGCAGGACTGCAGGGCCAGCTGCCAGAGTTCCTCAGCCCTCAAGAGAAGCCAGAAATCCAGGTTTTTATGTGAAAATTCCACACTTTTAAATGTTGGCAACAAAATCCCATTTAAACACACATTCATCAAGCGTGGGAATCAAACAACACCTCTGTGATGCCGAGCTGGCTCACAGGCTGCTTGTTTGAGACTGCTGACTTGGGGGGTTCTAAGTCCCAGCTGCACATTAGAATCATCAGAGAGCGCTCAGAAGTCCCACTGCCTGGGCTCCAAGCCTGACCAAGTGCATCCTAATCTCAGAGGTGGGACCAAATCTTCAACAGTCTGGCCAAGGGGGTCAAAGCCGCTAAATGTCAACCTGCCATTTTGTGGTGACATCTGTGACCCACTGGATGGAGATGGTGGTCTTGACTCGCTTCTCCTCTTGTCTTTCAGATCAGCTCTGAGGCTCTCAGGGAGCCTAAAACAACGCCTGCTGTTTGTGCAAGACAAATCTGGACAGGAGTAGAGGCTGAGGACAGACGGAGGGCTGATGGTAGAAAGGACCCGGAGACCTGAGGCAAACGCCTGAGGTCCAGGGGTCCATTGCCTGGGTCTGTAGCCCTAGATGAGCCCCTTCCCATTCCTGAAACCTCAGTGTCTCCACCTGCAAAATGGGAATAATAACCTTTTCCTGCCTTCCTCCTAAGAGGGTGTGAGGATCAAAAGATATAATATGTATGAAACACTTTACAGATTCTGAAACAAATGCCAGGCACTATTTGTCCCAACAGAAGGTTTTATTGCTATTTATGTTACAATGGGGGTTATGCAAATCCTAAGATGGGTACAGGGGAGTGGTGATTAAAAATCTCCATGTCTTCTTTGTAAGGTCTTTATAACAACACTGTCCAATAGAAATATAACGTGAGCCTCATATATATGTTTTCTAATAGCCATGTTAAACAAGCAAAAAGAAACAGGTGAACTTAATTTTTACGACAGCATTATTGACAGACAAATAATAATGCTATCATAAATTTGACCATTTTAAAGTGTACTATTCCATGGTTTTCAGTAGATAGTTCACCACTATCTAATTTCAGATCATTTTCATCGCTTCAAAAAGAAACCTGTAGCCATCAGCTGTCACTCTCCATTCTCCCCTCACCCTCAACTCTTGGCAACCAGTAATGTATTTTCTGTCTCTAGATACGCCTATTCTGGACATTTATTATGAATGGAATCATAAAGTATATGGGCTTTTGCATCTGGCTTCTTTCCCTTAGCATAATGTTTTCAAGGTTCATCCATGTATCAGTATTTGATTTCTTTTCATGGCCGAATAATATTCCATTGTATGGATATACCATATTTTATTTATTCATCAGTTAGCAAACATTCGGTTGTTTCTGCTTTTTGACTATTATGCATAATGCTGCTAAGAACATGCGTGTACAAGTTTTTGTGTTGGCTTATGTTTTTAATTCTCTTAAGTATATACCTAGGAGTGAAATTGCTGGTTCATATGATAACTCTATGTTTACCATTTTAGGAACTGTCAAATGGTTTTCTAAAGTGGATGCACAATTTTATAATCCCACCAGCAGTGTATGAGAGTTCCAATCTCTCCACATCCTAGCCAACACTTCTTACTGTCTGCCATTTTTATTTTGCTAGTCTAACTGGTGTGAAATAGTATCTCACTGTGCTTTCGATTTACAGTCTCTGATGACTAATGATGTTGAGAATATCTTCATGTGCTTATTGTCCATCTGTATATCTTCTTTGGATAAATGTCTATTCAAATCCTCTGCTCATTTTTAAATTTGTCATTCTATTATTGAATTGTAAGAGTTCTTCATATATTCTACATACAAGTCTCTTATCAGATATATGATTTGGAAATATTTTCTCCCATTCTGCGTGCTGTCATTTCACTTTCATGATGGTGTCCTTTGAAGCATAAAGGTTTTTAATTTTGATGAAGTCTAATTTATCTATTTTTCTTTTCTAGCTTGTGCTTTTGAGTCATATCTAAGAAACCATTGCCTAATCAAAGATCACAAAGATTTACTCCTATGTTTTCTTCTAAGAATTTTATAATTTTAGCTCTTACATTTACATCTATAACCCATTTTGAATTAATTTTTGTATATAGTGTGACGCAGACACCCCACTTTAGTCTTCCGCATGTGGATAGAAGCACAGCATCTCAGCACCATTTGTTGAAAAGACTATTCTTTCCCCCATTGAATTATCATGGCACTGTTTTCAAAAATCAATTGACCACAAACGCAAGGGTTTATCTCTGGATTCTCAATTGTATTCCATTGCTCTATCCATCTATCCTTAGATCAATAACAGTCGTGATTTCTGTAGCTTAGTAGTCAGTTTTGAAATTGGGAAAGATGAGTCCTCAACTTTGTTCTTCTTTTTCAAGATGTGTTTCCTATTCTGGATCCCTTGAATTTCCATCTGAATTTTACGATCAGATCATTAAGTTCTGCAAAGAAGCCAGCTGTGATTTTGATAGAGATTGCATTAAATCTGTAGTTCAGGGCTAGCCCTGGTGGCCTAGTGGTTAAGTTTGGCACACTCCACTTCGGTGGCCTGGGTTCAGTTCCCAGGTGCGGACCTACAGCACTTGTCTGTCAGTGGCCACACTGTGGCGGTGGCCCAGATACAAAAAGAGGAAGACTGGCAGCAGATGTTAGCTCAGGGCGTATGTTCTTCAGCAAAAAAGAAAGAAAAGAAAAGAAAAAAAGAAATCTGTAGATCAAGTTGGGGAGTATTGCCATCTTAACAATATTTACTCTTCCAATCCATGACTGTGGGATGTCTTTCAATATACTTAGGTCTTCTTTAAATTCTTTCAACAATTTTCGTAGTTTGTAAAGAATAATGTTTGCACTTCTATTAAATGTATTCTTAAGTATTTTGTTCCTTTTGATACTGTTGTAAATGAAATTGTTTCCTTAATTTCTTTTACAGATTGTTGATTGCTACTGTATGGAAATATAATTGATTTTTTTATATTTGTCTTTTTTTATTGAGTTAATGATAGGTTACAATCTTGTGAAATTTCAGTTGTACATTATTGTCTGTCAGTCGTGTTGTAGGTGCACCCCTTCACCCTTTGTGCCCACCCCCCACCGCACCTTTCCCCTGGTAGCCACTAATCTGTTCTCTTTGTCCACAGGTTTAAATTCCTCATATGAGTGGAGTCATACAGAGATTGTCCTTCTCTATCTGGCTTATTTCACTTAACACAATTCCCTAAAGGTCCATCCATGTTGTTGCAAATGGGACGACTTTGTTCTTTTTTATGGCTGAGTAGTATTCCATTCTATATATATACACCACATCTTCTTTATCCAATCATCTGTTGATGGGCACTTAGGTTGCTTCCACATCTTGGCTATTGTAAATAATGCTGCAATGAACATTGGGGTGCATGGGACGTTTGGAATTGCTGACTTCAAGCTCTTTGGATAAATACCCAGTAGTGGGATGGCTGGATCATATGGTAGTTCTATTTTTAATTTTTTGAGGAATCTCCATACTGTTTTCCATAGTAGCTGCACCAGTTTGCATTCCCACCAGCAGTGTATGAGGGTTCCTTTTTCTCCACAACCTCTCCAACATTTGTTACTATTTGTTTTAGATATTTTTGTCATTCTAATGGGTGTAAGGTGATATCTTAGTGTAGTTTTGATTTGCATTTCCCTGATGATCAGCGATGATGAGCATCTTTTGATGTGCCTATTGGCCATCCGTATATCTTCTTTCAAGAAATGTCTGTTCATGTCTCCTGCCCATTTTTTGATCGGGTTGTTTAATTTTTTATTGTTCAGTTGTGTGAGTTCTTTATATATCATGGATATTAAGCCTTTGTCGGATGTATGACTTGCAAATATTTTTTCTCAGTTAGTGGGTTGTTTTTTTGTTTCAATCCTGTTTTCCCTTGCCTTGAAGAAGCTCTTTAGTCTGATGAAGTCCTGTTTGTTTATTCTTTCTGTTGTTTCCCTTGACTGAGAAGACATGGTGTCTGAAAAGATCCTTTTAATACTGATGTCAAAGAGTGTACTGCCTACATTTTCTTCTAGAAACCTTATGGTTTCAGGTCTCAAATTTGATGTCTTTGATGGTCTTTGATCCATTTTGAGTTTATTTTGGTGAATGGTGAAAAAGAATGGTCAATTTTCATTCTTTTCCATGTGGCTGTCCAGTTTTCCCAGCACCATTTGTTGAAGAGACTTTCTTTTCTCCATTGTAGGCCCTCAGCTCCTTTGTCAAAGATTAGCTGTCCATAGATGTGTAGTTTTATTTCTGGGCTTTCAGTTCTGTTCCATTGATCTGTGCACCTGTTTTTGTACCAGTACCATGCTGTTTTGATTACTGTAGCTTTGTAGTATGTTTTGAAGTCAGGGATTGTGATGCCTCCAGCTGTGTTCTTTTTTCTCAGGATTGCTTTAGAAATTCGGGGTCTTTTGTTGCCCCATATGAATTTTAGGATTCTTTGCCCTATTTCTGTAAAGAATGTCTTTGGGATTCTGATAGGCATTGCACTGAATCTGAAGATTGCTTTAGGTAGAATGGACATTTTAGCCGCCGCCGCCGTCGCCGCGCAGAGCCAGAGCAGGAGCCACGTCCGAGAGGAGGGAGGAGGAGGAGGAGGAGGAGGAGGTGGAGGAGGCGCCGGACCGGGGGGATTGTCAGTATTTAAACAGACTACATCATGCGTGAGTACAAGCTAGTGGTCCTTGGTTCAGGAGGCGTGGGGAAGTCTGCTCTGACAGTTCAGTTTGTTCAGGGAATTTTTGTTGAAAAATATGACCCAACGATAGAAGATTCCTACAGAAAGCAAGTTGAAGTAGATTGCCAACAGTGTATGCTCGAAATCCTGGATACAGCAGGAACAGAGCAATTTACAGCAATGAGGGATTTGTATATGAAGAATGGCCAAGGGTTTGCACTAGTATATTCTATTACAGCTCAGTCCACATTTAATGACTTACAAGACCTGAGGGAACAGATTTTACGGGTTAAGGATACAGAAGATGTTCCAATGATTTTGGTTGGCAATAAATGTGACCTGGAAGATGAGCGAGTAGTTGGCAAAGAACAGGGTCAGAATTTAGCACGACAGTGGTGTAACTGTGCCTTTTTAGAATCTTCTGCAAAGTCAAAGATCAACGTTAATGAGATATTTTATGACCTGGTCAGACAGATAAATAGAAAAACACCAGTGGAAAAGAAGAAGCCTAGAAAGAAAACATGTCTGCTGCTTTAGACCCACAGTAAGCAGCAGCTCTGAGCCAGATTACAGGAATGAAGAACTGTTGCCTAATTGGGAAGTGCCAGCATTCCAGACTTCAAAAAATAAATCTGAAGAGGCTTCTCCTGTTTTATATATTATGTGAAGAATTTAGATCTTATATTGGTTTGCACAATTTCCCTGGAGAAAAAAATTACTCTGTGTATATCTCTTGGAAAATAAGACAATAGTATTTCTCCTTTGCAATAGCAGTTATAACAGATGTGAAAATAAATATACTTGACTCTAATATGATTATACAAAAGAGCATGGATGCATTTCAAATGTTAGATATTGCTACTATAATCAAATGATTTCATATTGACCTTTTTATCATGATTCCTCCCTGTCAAGCACTAAAAAGTGGAAGCATTATACTTTATATCTGTAATGATATAGATTATGAAATTTCCCCTCAAACTCATTGCAGCAGATAACTTTTTTGAGTCATTGACTTCATTTTATATTTAAAAAATTATGAAATATCATTCTGTCATTATATTCTAATTAAAATTGTTTGTGCATAATGCTTTGGAAAAATGGGTCTTTTATAGGAAAAAAACTGGGATAACTGATTTCTATGGCTTTCAAAGCTAAAATATATAATATACTAAACCAACTCTAATATTGCTTCTTGTGTTTTACTTTCAGATTAAATTACAGCTTTTATGGATGATTAAATTTTAGTACATTTTCAAAAAAAAAAGAATGGACATTTTAACTGTGTTTATTCTTCCAATCCATGTACATGGAATGTCTTTCCATCTGTTTATGTCGCCATCCAATTCTCTCAGAAAGGCCTTGTAATTTTCATTATATAGGTCTTTCACTTCCTTAGTTAAATTCACCCCGAGGTATTTTATTCTTTTTGTTGTGACTGTGAATGGTATTGTGTTCTTGAGTTCGTTTTCTGTTAGTTCGTAATTAGAATATAGAAATGCTACTGATTTATGTAAATTGATTTTATACCCTGCATCTTTGCTGTAGTTGTTGATTAATTCTAAAAGTTTTCCAATGGATTCTTTGGGGTTTTCTATATATAAGATCATGTCATCTGCAAACAGCGACAGTTTCACTTCTTCCCTCCCTGTTTGGATTCCTTTTATTCCTTTTTCTTGCCTAATTGCTCTGGCCAAAACCTCCAGTACTATGTTAAATAAGAGTGGTGATAGAGGGCATCCTTATCTCGTTCCTGTTTTCAGGGGGATGGTGCTCAGTTTTTGCCCATTGAGTATGATGTTGGCTGTGGGTTTGTCATCTATGGCCTTTATTATGTTGAGGTAGTTCCCTTCTATGCCCATTTTGTTCAGAGTTTTTATCATAAATGGCTGTTGGATCTTGTCAAATGCTTTCTCTGCATCTATTGAGATGATCATGTGGTTTTTATTCCTCAGTTTGTTGATGTGGTGTATCACGTTGAGTGATTTGCGATGTTGAACCATCTCTGTGTCCCTGGTATGAATCCCACTTGATCATGATGTATGATCCTTTTGATGAATTGCTGAATTCTGGTTGCCAAAATTTTGTTTAGAATTTCTGCATCTATGTTCATCAGCAATATTGGCCTGTAGTTCTCTTTTTTCGTGGTGTCCTTGTCAGGCTTTGGTATCAGCGTGATGTTGGCCTCATAGAATGTGTTAGGAAGTGTTCCATCCTCCCTACTTTTTTGGAATAGCTTGAAAAGGATAGGTATTAAATCTTCTCTGAAAGTTTGGTAGGATTCCCCAGGAAAGCTGTCTGGTCCTGGGGTTTTATTCTTTGGGATGCTTTTGATTGCTGTTTCAATCTGTTTCCTTGTGATTGGTCTGTTCAAATTGTCTGCTTCTTCTTGACTAAGCTTTGGGATGCTGTAGGAGTCCAAGAATTTATCCATTCACTCTAGGTTGTCCATTTTGCTGGCATATAGTTTTTCGTAGTATTCTCTTATAATCCGTTGTGTTTCTGCGGAGTCTGTTGTTATTTCTCCTCTTTCATTTCTAATTTTGTTTATTTGAGCTTTCTCCCTTTTTTTCTTTATAAATCTGGCTAGGGGTTTATCAATTTTATTTATGTTCTCAAAGAACCAGCTCTTTCTTTCATTGATCCTTTCTACTGCCTTTTTTGTTTCAATAGCATTTATTTCTGCTCTGATTTTTATTATTTCTCTCCTTCTGCTGACTTTGGACTTTGTTCTTCTTTCTCTAATTCAGTTAGGTGTAGTTTAAGATTGCTTATTTGGGATTTTTCCTGTTTGTTAAGATGTGCCTGTATTGCGATGAATTTTCCTCTTAATACAGCTTTTGCTGTATCCCATATGAGTTGGTATGGCATGTTATCATTTTCATTTGTCTCCAGGTACTTTTTGATTTCTTCTTTAATTTCTTCAATGATCCATTGCTTGTTCAATAGCATATTGTTTAGTCTCCACATCTTTGTGCCTTTCTCAGCTTTTTTCTTGTAATTAATTTCTAGCCTTATAGCACTATGATCTGAGAAGATGCTTGTTATTATTTCAATTTTTTTAAATTTGTAGAGGCTTGCCTTGTTTCCAAACATATGGTCTATCCTTGAGAATGTTCTATGCATGCTTGAGAAGAACGTGTAGTCTGCTGTTTTTGGGTGAAGTGTTCTATATGAGTCTATTAAGTCCAACTGTTTTAGCTTTTTGTTTAGCTCCACTGTTTCCTTGTTGATTTTCTGTCTGGATGATCTGTCCATTGATGTGAGTGGGGTGTCGAGGTCCCCTACTATTATTGTGTTATTTTTGATATCTTCTTTTAGGTTTGTTAATAGTTGCTTTATGAACTTTGGTGCTTCTGTGTTGGGTGCATAGACATTTATAAGTGTTATTTCTTCTTGATGAAGTGTCCGTTTGATCATTATGTATTGGCCCTCTACGTGTCTCTTTACCTGCCTCATCTTGAAATCTGTTTTGTCTGATATATATTGTGACACCTGCTTTCTTTCGTTTGCTATTAGCTTGGAATATTGACTTCCACCCCTTCACTCTGAGCCTGTGTTTGTCCTTGGAGCTGAGGTGTGTTTACTGGAGGCAACAAATTGGTGGATCTTGGTCTTTAATCCATTTTGCCACTGTGTGTCTTTTTATTGGAGAGTTCAATCCGTTTACATTGAGGGTGAGTACTGATGCATGAGGGCTTAATGCTGTCCTTCTGTTGCTTGTTTTCGGGTTTTCCTGTGCTTCTTTTGTTTCTCGTCCTGTGTGTTTTAGCCTACCCATTGACTTCTGCAATTTCTTATGCTGGGTTTCTTAGATTTTTCCTTATTTATGTTTTGTGTCTCTGTTCTGTTTTTTACTTTAGTGGCTATCCTGAAGTTTGTATTCAGAATCTCGTGTATAACACAGTCCATTTTCTGGTGGTCTCTTACTTCCTTAGCCTAAACTGATTCAGTCCCTTTCCTCCTCCCCTCCTAAATTGTTATTCTCATCTTTTATTCCAACTTGTGTTGTGAGTTTGTGGTTAGAGTGATAAGATTGTCTTTGCTTTGGTGATTTCCTTCCCTTTATCCTAATGCTATAGTTGAATATTTGCTATCCTATTCCGATTCTATCTATTTGTCTCCCTACTGTGTGTTTTGTGACCCTTTTCTCCCTTTTTTTCTTTTTTCAGGTATGAGAGCCTTCTTGAGGATTTCTTGTTGTGGAGGACTTTTGGTTACAAAGTCCCTCAGCTTTTGTTTGTCTGGAAAGGATTTAATTTCTCCCTCATATCGGAAGGATATTTTTGCTGGATAGAGTATCCTTGGCTGAAGATTTTTATCCCTTAAAGTTTTGAATATGGCACTCCAATCTCTCCTAGCTTGTAAGGTTTCTGTAGAGAAATCCACTGAAAGCCTGATAGGGGTTCCTTTGTAGGTTATTTTCTTCTGCCTTGCTGCCCTGAGTATTGTTTCTTTGTCATTCACTTTTGCCATTTTTACTACTATATGCCTTGCAGTAGGTCTTTTTACATTGACAAATCTAGGAGATCTGAAAGCTTCCACACACATTTCTCTCTTAATCCCTAGATTTGGGAAGTTCTCTTCTATCATTTCGTTGAGCACACTTTCTGCTCCATTTTCCTTTTCCACACCCTCAGGAATTCCGATGATTCTTAAGTTACGTCTTCTCATTGAGTCAGCTATTTCTTGGAGATTTTCTTCAGTTTTTAAAATTCTTAGTTCTCTTTCTTCCTCTGTCTGGAGCCATTCAGCCTGTCTATCTTCGATTATGCTAATTTTCTCCTCTATGGTGTCTACACGTGCATTCAGGGAATCCGTATTCTGTTTTATCGGATTCATTGTATTTTTCATCTCTAGTATTTCTGATTGATTCTTCTTTATAGTTTCAATCTCTTTTGTGACGTAACTCCAGAACTCGTTGACTTGTTTCTCTATATTTCCCTTTACCTCATTGAATATTTTGAGGAGAGCTATTTTGAACTCATCTTCACTTAGTTTACCTATTTTCAAGTCCTCAGGACCTACTTCTGTGTTTTTATTGTTTTCCTTCTGGTCTAGAGCTTTTAGAAATTGCAGGATGGTAGAGGAGCAGTTTTTGCACATGATGCTATTATTCTGTTGCAGTTACAGCCTATCGCCACTAGATGGGGTTCGAGAGCCATGTGTTCTGAGCCCTCCACCATCAGCTGCGATGGCAGTGCGCAGCATGGGTTGGGGGAGGAGGGACACTTTCTCTTGTCCACCGACCTGGATTCAGATCAGCTCTTGCTCTCTGGTTTCCTGGGGCCCCAGCTTGATGGGGTCGCCCACACGAAAGCTTTCCCCCATTAGAGGGTTTCTGCTGCACTGGCAGTGGGAGTCCTGGATGATCCCCAGAAGCGCGGCCCCTCCCCCGCTCCTTCCCTCACCAGCAGCAGTGATCCCAGTCTCTAGGGGCAGGAGCAAAGTTCTCTCTTACCCTGTTCCAGCTCCTGCAAGGGCGGCTCCATCCTCTCCACCCTCCATCATTTGGCTGCTGTGGGTCTCTGACGATTTCTGTTATTAGGATTTTTTTTTTTTTTTTTGGTTGGAAAGCAGTTGCTCTTTTTGGTTGTAATTTGGAGGGGAGAGAGTCCCGGGTGAGCTCACGCTGCCATGTTGCTGACATCCTATATTTGTCTTATATCTTGCAAACTTGCTGAATTCATTTATTAATTCTAATAGTTTCCCCCCATACTCCTTAGGATTTTCTATATATAAGATCATGTCATCTATGAATGGAAAGACTTTTACTTCTTCCTTTCCAATCTGGGTGTCTTTTATTTTTTTTCTTGCCTAATTGCCCTGGTTAGAACCTCAAGTACAACGTTTAATAGCAAAAGTGGCAAGAGCAGACATCCTTGTCTTGTTCCTGATCTTAAGGGGAAAACATTCAACCTTTTACTGTGAACTATTAGGTTAACTGTTGATTTTTCATAGATGGCCTTTATCAGGTCGAGGAAGTTCTCTTCGATACCTAGTAACAAAATGGACAATAGTGTTTTCATCATGAAAAGTTTTTCAATTTTGTTAAAGGCTTTTCCTGCATCTGTTGAAATGATCATGTGATTTTGTCCTTTATTTTTTCAATACGGCAGATTACATTGATTGATTTTCATATGTTAAACCAACCTTGCATTCTTGGGATGAATCCCACTGTGTGAT